TCTTTTTGTTTATGTTAATATTTAGGCCGAGTCGTTCAACATCAAGGCGTTGTAATGGCTGTTTTCGATTCGCTTTGGTCCGTCTTCAAGGCCACCCAAATTAGAACCAACCGTTTTTGATGGCAAACCGGTGACGTGACAGACATCGCCTGGACATCGCTTGGTCCGTCTAAATTCGAACCAGCTTCGCGATTCGCGACTTGGTTCGAATTTTGGTTTGAATTTCGGTTTGCTTTTATATCCTTAAAAGATGGCGTCTTTCTTGACAGACCAAATTCAAAAGCGGTCAACCAACTTCTGTCATATCCGAACCAACCAGGCCCACCAGGCCGAACGTCGAACCTGGTTGCGAATCGAAAATGGCCATTGCTTCCCAGGACGTCTGTCATAATAACAGGCACAACCAGTCCATTGATCTTGATGCCGTCCTCTGCGTCCTTCAAGGCTCATTCAAAAATAATTTCAGAGTATGGATTGAAGAGTAGGCGGAACCAGAACGCAACCCTTTCATATTTCTTTTTCTATCGAGAATTTCTTTGTAGAGTATAGTGTCACTTCCCTTTCTCTCCGATGCTTCTTGATTTACGTATAGATTCTTTATAAATTGTAGATCGTTCTTATCCATCCTATCTTGAGGCATCTTCATTAACTCAGTGTGTTTGACACAGTCGAACGTCTATGAAACACATGAAAACCTGCTTACGCTGGTCTCTGCATTTCTGAAGTAATGCGGTTGGACTGAAAATTGCTTCACGTGTGCCGAAGCCTTGTCTGAATCCAAACTGAGTAGGGGCAATGTCTCTTACGTAGGTATCTGTTGTGAATTCTCGTAGGGATTTTCTTTAGGAACATTTTTAAAACTTGACTCATCAAGCTGATCATTCGGAACTGATCACAGTGGTTTGATTGTGGTTGATGTTTTTGGGATCGGTACAAAATTTGACTGGAGCCAGTCCTGTGATAAAGTCTATACGTCACTTGGACTTGTAGTATAAAAACTAAATCCCGGCATAAGGCGGCCTTTTCTTTGTTATACATGGGCGGCGTAATTTCAAAAGGCGCTACTAAAATTAATAATCAATAAACTAATCGAATTAACTGGAGTAGGTAATGCATTGCACTGTCTCTCACACCGACAATCATATCATCCCACAAAGCGGAATGAACAGAAACAGTATGTCGGCCAATCAAAAATCGGCAAAGACCAATCAGATCCATCGAGTCCACGTTGACTGGCATCGAACGTGTAAAAGGAGCCAATCAGATCCATCCCTACTTGTCTGGCTTCCAACGGTACCAGGAGCAATCAGTATAAATTTTGCTATATTTTTCAATATGTGATGCAGTATATTGACCATGCCACTATTTTAGGCCTAGTCCAACTAACTTCGTATAGACTATATCTCGCTTGTCTCATATGTTGTTGAATATTTCTACCAATTTCTACCAGGGAGTCTACGTTTTCGTCATTCAGCAGTTTTATTATCTCTGTCTATACATCGTCTGGTCCGTTTCTTCTTCTTGTTGCTTGGTAGTCAAATTTTGTTGTATCTGTCACTTGGTTCCCACAATGGGAAAGCACTCTCTGATTAGGCATTTCAGGTTGACGTCATAACCGATCCGCCATTTTAGCTGAGGAGCAAACAAAAGCCAAACATAACTTGATTTAATGTTATTTTCAATGCAAACCGAGAATTTTTGAAGTAATATTTTGTGAAGATGCCTTCGTTTTGTGGCGTTTTTGGGTGCTCCAATAGAGCTGAAAGGGATAAAGTGAGGTTTTTTATGATTCCAGCAGCATTTAAAGATCGAAGGGATCGCATAAACGACCTATCAAAAAAACAACGGAGTATGTGAATTAGATGCCTCAATAGGGGAGATTTGCCTGTAACGTTGTTAAAAATGCTCGAATTTGTTCGAAACATTTTGTTAATGGTAAGTTTTATGACTGTCTTGTTGTTAAAATACAAAAACACTTCATCTCGGTACATCAAAAAAGTTGTTTATGTTTCTACAAGTATATAGGTAACTTTTAATACCTTTTAGGTAGTCCAGCAGAATTTAAGGATACAAACAATCCGGATTGGGTCCCCAGTACAAATTTAGGATATACTACGATAATTGATAGAAGCCCAGAATGAACATCCAGTAAGCTAAGCTACATGCCAGATCTGTGCACCGATCAGAACAGTCAAAACGTTTGAGGAGTCATTCTACCACAAATTTATTTTGCTAAAGTTTATTTGTAAGGTTGTTAGTATCAAACTTTTTTATTTTTTAAACAATTTAGATTCTTAAGCATTATTTTTGTTAATAAATTGTTTGTTTACTATTGTTAAATTGAAATGTAAAGTGGCATGTCTGTAAATAAAGATTTATTCATTCATTCCATTCATTCACAAAAACTAAAAACAACTTAAAATTTATTAAATTAATCAAAAAACGCAAAAATTCCAAAGCACAAACTCAAAAAACATTGTTAACAATGATCTATAGGCTTTGTTTGCCCCTCAGCTAATATGGCGGACCTGTCAAAAGTCACGTGACCTGGAATGCCTAATTGGCTGAAGCCGATTTTGACGTTTTTGTTGCAGCATGTAGAAATGCGAAATTTAAATCAGTTAATAAGGAATATACCTATCCTTTATTTTTTTATAATGTAGTAAAGGACGAAAATAGTTTCTAGCTAGTGAAATGTCTAATGATTTACTAATGAGAAATTTGGCAGCCTCGCATTTTTGTTGATTTTCTGGTTTGTGACGTCAAAAACCAAGTTCGCGTTTTCGCGCCAGTTTAAAAATTCGAATTTTAAATATTTTTTTTTCTCAAAAATAAGCGTTTTTTTCAAGAAAAAAAGTATACAGGTAGTATTAGAATGACTAAAAGAATAATTTAAATATGTTTTTAAAAAATGTGAAAGTGGCCTTGCTTTAATTAGTACATTAAAATACAAGTTTCATAAGACGTCATTTTATCGCACGAGCCCTATATTAGAAAACGAGCCGGAGGCGAGTTTTCTAAAGGGCGAGTGCGATAAAATGTCTTATAAAACGAATATTTTATACTATTTTTTCTATTTTGGTATTGTTTAATTTTGAAAAAAACAAATTTTTCTTGGAAATTTTATTCTTATATTTCCTGTTTTCATAGTTTAGGTTGGTGACACTACATGCCAAATATAGAAATCTTCTATTATAAAATCGCGAATGACAGTTCGATGGCCATCAGTCAGCCAGTATTACCAACCTCCGATAAGTAAAAAAGGAGTGTTACAAAGAGCTTCTTTTCGAAACTACTTTTAGTGTCGAAAAGACTTCGATATGACACCAAAATAGAAAATAGTTATTTATGTATCAAGGGTACTAAGTAGATGATTATGCCCTGAGGGCGACAGTCTTACAAAGCCGAGGGCCTCTGGTCCGAGGGTTCGTAAGTTGCCCGAGGGTATATATCTATTAGTACCCGTGGTGCATACAAACTTTTATGTCATGCCTGCGCGGGCCATAATGTGTACTTTATGCCCGCGCGGGCCATAATGTGTACTTTATGCCCGCACGGGCATAAAGTAATGAATTATATAGATGGTATCTAAGGTATAAAAACACAATAATGTACTGGTATGACATAAATATCTTTACGTTAATTCATGGGTTCATCTTCAGGTTCAGGAAACTCGCGACGTCTCAAGTGTGCTTGTTATTTGAGAGTAGGAAATCTAAATTTGGGAGCTGCCGGCCTTCTCGTTGGCATGTGGTAATTTAGTTTAGCATCTGTTGTATTGATGGTTTGAGACAAGACAGGCAAATTTTTCAATTAGATAACTGGCCGACCAATGGGATTACAGATGGCGTTTTTATCTGTAAGATTGCATACCTGACAGTTTATCAGAAGAGAAGGTGAATAAATCGGCCCTAAATATAATTGGAACTAGATTATTTGATACAATTTAAATTTTCCGGGTATTATTAGAGACCTTTGAAATGTTCTATTTTATTTACTTGATTTGATCAATTCTAAGTTTTGTTTCACTCAATCATTTCATATTTCCATTCCTATTTGACATCAAGATTTTTGAAAACATATAAGGAGGTTTATAAAGATATCTGGTAAAAACTTTCTCATGATTAATCCTGATTAAAATAACACTTAATAATTAAAATAACACTAAATGGAAGTTATTGGGTATTTTTTTATTTTAAAATTAACATTCTGTGAAACTCTTCAAAGCGTGCAAACCAAAAGTCCGTATGATCATATTTCTTCAGTAGCAGAACTTACGAGAATGACAACATATCCAGACAGAATTGATAATTTCTCAATTACATTAAATAAAATTAGCAGGGATAAAATGAAAGCACAACACATTCAATAAAAGGCAAATTACAATATTACCTACATTAATGTCCGATCTAAAAGTTGTCGATCCAGATGTTAGTTTACCGGTCTTTCTTGACCCCATGCTCACACCACCGCGTTTACTCTATTACTATGTGAAAAGGACTTTCTCGACGGGCCTACTCTTTATCTATCCATCAACCCCGATTTGCGTGTGTGCCAGTTAAATTAGGTTAACGTGTTCAGATTTTTCGGCATTTCTAGAGCACCGGTCAGTTTTATTTGTTGCACCCTATAAATCCCTAATTTTACTGATTGTATAAATCACGAACCTTACGTCCTTGTCTTGCCAAGATTTGTCCATAACTTATAAAATCACGATAGCTATCTTATTAGTTTTGCCGCCTGATTATGGGGGCATTCGATACAAGAAAGGTCAAGACGGACGGTGGGCGGTTTTATGAGTAAGGCTACGAAAATAACTCTTAGGGCTCAAGGTTAATAATTATTCTGGTTTTAAATCAGTCTTAATGGAATTGGTTTTTGAAGCAAATTTGCATAAGAAATGGCCAGCTAGGCAATAATTATTATGTAAATGTTTGCTTTTATGTTGTACTTTTTTTACAAATGAGTAAGTTTATAAATTTAGAACTAGTTTTATTTACCTTGCACATATCTACATTATCATTCATCGCAGCCATGTGTAAAGGCGTTCTACCATCATTATTTCTTGCGTTTACTTGACTCGGTCTCATGCTCAGTAACCAGGCCACCAGTTCTCTGCGACCCGAAGCTGCAGCTTCGTGTAGCGGAAAATCTCCCCTAAAAAAACTTCATGTAGGTACGCTGCAAACTCACGTTGAAATTCTCACCTAGCATTTCTCATCCACAAATTCGCTCCTCTCGCCCCTATAAGCTTTACAGTTTCGAATTGGCCTTTCGCGCAGCCGCAATGCGCAGGGCTGCGTCCTTTACGATCTTGTCGGTTCGGGTCTGCGCCGTGCGCCAGCAATAGGGCTGTTGCATCAGCATGACCTAAAGAGGAAATTGTTTTGGTTTGTTTTTGAAATAAAAAATTCCTACCTAATGTGACTGCATAATGTAAAGCTGTGCATCCATTACTATCGATAACGTCAGGGGAAGCTCCGCATAATGTTAAAAGGGTGTCGAGGCAATCGGTGTGGCCTCTAGATGCTGCGCAATGCAATGCTGTTAACCCATCCCTAAATAAATTAGATATATTGTCAACTTTTATAGATATAGCTATGGAATAATTTACTTATCAGATGATTCCACAATAGCTCCAGCTCTTATCAAAGCTAACAACGCTTTAGCAGATCCAGCACTAGCTGCCCACAGTAAGGGTTGCCTTTTGTCTCCGTCTTCGACAGACACATTGATGTCCTTATGTCCTAGAAGGGCGTGGAGAACTTGAATGCCCAAGTTTGAATCTTTGTCCTAAATTGACGGGGGTTAAATAAGAATTATGTTTGATTATCCTTACTTACTCCTCCGCACATTTGAGCAGCATAATGCAACGGATATCCACCGTGGACGTCGGGAGTGGATACTGGGGCATTTGCAGCTAAGACGGAGCGTAGAGCAGCCGTTTCTCCACATACTAAAAACATAATATCAGCAAACCATAAGTGCCACACTGAGAGAATTAATTTTAGACCATTATAAAAATCTTGGGGAACAGATAAGCGCTGTAGTTACCATTATAAAAGTCACTTTATAAACTACTACTATGCTACCATTGATAGACCAATTTACTGAAATCGCCTAAAAACCATTAAAAATTTATAAACGAGTCACAATAAAATAGTTTTGAAAGGCTAAAAAGCGGTTTTTTAACTGTCAATAAATATTTGATGATGGTTATTAAACTGTATATTAACCCTTAATATATCTTATAAGGGATAATATAAACATTTTAATAATAACAGATGAATATCTTTATACCATTAATATATTTTTTTAACCACCAAAAATTCCTTTTATAATCATAACAAGATAACCTTATAAGGCCCAGTTATAAAATCTTGGTTAAAAACAGAGTTCAGCTGAACTCGACTGGTACTTGAACTTCTCCATTTAAAATACATTGTTGTCAGCTATTAATCAAATTCTAGCTATTTTTGACAGCAATGCATTTCAAATGGGGAAGTTCAAGTAGGTACCAGTCGAGTTCAGCTGAACTCTGTTTTGAACCAAGATTGTACAACTGGACCTAAGGGTTATTAAAAATGTTATGGTACTATTATATTGCATTTGGGAAGAGGTAAAAATAAAAGACAATGGGTATTTTTTAAATCAAACTTTTATTAATTGTTGATACCTACATATTATTATATAGTGATATTGAAAATATAAAAGCTGCATCTACAGTAATCACATAAACTAACAAAATTTCGAATCGTATATGTATACCTACGTAACTACTTAAGTATATAATATAAAAAATACCACTTGGAAAAAGCAGGTAATAAGAGAGTTTTCATTTTTAATTTATATTTTCTCAAAAAGGACTCTTGTTTTTCAAAAAAAAAAGAATGCAGAAAATCCTAGCTTCAGTTGCTTTGTGCAATAATTATTCCAAATCTGAAAATTAATGAAAGCATTGAGGGGGATATATTTATACCTAGTCATAGCTCACCTTCGATAAATGACTGTAAGCCCCACTCTAGAAGGGCAACTTTACACGCCATTGTCAGACCAGTGCCAGTGTAAATCCAAAATCCAAGGTTATAAATGATAAATAATTCAAAATGATTTAAATAATTCACCAACGGCACCAACGCAACGCACTAACTAATCAACGCTTACAGCAAAAAATGGCGCGACGACACGACACAAATACCTGATCACAAATGAGCGGGCTCATGCTTCATGCTTGCACGGAAGCAATAATTGGAATGCACAGGAAAATTACAAAATAAGCCATTATGGCCGCTTCGGGTTGTTTCGCGAATAGCCGAAGCCAATAACGGCCCGCTTAAGTTTATTATGGCTATAACGCACATTTTAAAGACTGAAAATCAACTAATAGTTGTTAAAAAACGTATATCGATGGTTATGAAGATCAATTTTAAAGATCGTGTGTAGTAACCATATTAAAGTATCTAGCTACTGTAGTAAATTCGTATGAAGAAATTTTAATACAATACATCAGTAAATTAAATTTTTAACAAGAGTAAAGTATTTTATAGGAGCTCATAGATAACTATAGGTGATAATGAGGATAATTCAACAAAGAATTTTTAGCAACCATAAAAATACGTTATTCAGTAATAGATAGATAATTTATGGCAGTTATCAGAGATATTTTGTCTGCAATGAAGAAAATTCCAGTAAGACAATTTAGGAATTCAATTTCCTCAGTGCAAGGTTTCGTTTTATTTCAAAGCTGCTCAGCAGATTACAGTTGGAAAAAAATGGCACTACATTGTTCTAAGAAGAAAAACAATTCCAAATTTAAGCTGATAACTGAAGAGTATCCTGCTAAGGTGCTTGATGAAGACGTTAATATTAAACAAGGCGCAATTGGAATTATTGAAAATTAAATTTTAGCAGTGATGAAAATAACCATAGTCTTACTGAAGCTCAAGATCAAACCTGAAATGAAGCTGATAAGAAAAATAAATATTTGAAAAAGCAAAACAGGGTGAAAGTGAAGCTGGAAGCAGCTTGGGTACAAGAAAAGCTGCTACATTGGAAGATATCAAAGATGTGAGAAAGTTATAATGAATCAAAAACAATCCTAAGAAGAAAATAATCACCTACTAAGGCTGATGTAGGTAATCAATGCGAAAAAAGTTAGTTAAGTTATAATTGGTCCTCAAAACAACACTGATGCATACTTATTTAGTAGGTATTCAGAATATGCAAATATATTTCCGAAAGCAATTTCCTTATAGTTATCAGTAGGTAATCAAATTTTCACATACTGAGAACGTTGACCCAAATAGCCAAAAACTTTACTGCAGTAAGACTACGACTTTATTTACAACAGGTTGAGCGTTAAAGATTGACCCAGAAAGATGTTTATCCGCAAACTGGCCACAGGTTGGAAGGTTTTGGTCGGGTTTCGGAGGCGATTGTAGTGAATAAAAAAAAATTGAAATACGAGCGGAAAATGGACATCTATAAAGTGCCCACAATGTAAAAACATTATGGATGGATGGATATTTTTTCAAATAAATGATATAGTCAACCATCCAAGGACCTTTTTTTTCAGTTATACATGTAAACCCCATACTTTGTGAGTGGCTTGCTTACATCAAGTCCTACAACTTTTCCTCTACGACTTTTCTCGGAAATGGCACGTATGCGCGCAGGCGACTCGCAAACATTTTAGGGGTATCGGACTCCCCCAATTTGCCATTATTTTTGTCGGCCAAGTTGATTTCCGTGATTTAGAAATAAAAATCAAACAGTATTCGTAAAATTAGATTTACCTACATGTATCAGGAAACATAGCTACGTCAGATCGACATGTTTGCGAGTCGCCTGCGCGCGTACGTGCCATTTCCGAGAAAAGTCGTAGAGGAAAAGTTGTAGGACTTGATGTAAGCAAGCCACTCACAAAATATGGGGTTTACATGTATAACTGAAAAAAAAGGTCCTTGGATGGTTGACTAATAGGTCATGTGAACATAAACCAAACATGTATAGAAGAATGAATTGTATATTAGTTTAATGAATAATTACAGTAAAATCGATTCCATAGTGCCTTATTTGATTAAAAGAAAGTTTTATTAATGTACTTGGAGTAACATGCCGGTATCCTAATGACTTTGAAATAAAGTTAATTTTGTGTGTAGGGAAACAGCCAAGTCATTATGTTTCCTTTCCGATATTGTTTTCTTCAATTAAGGTAAACGAACTAGAATTTTTTCCTTTATAACTTAGTTGTTGATTGTATTTCCTACCTGTTGCCCAATGTACTACAGTATGCTTCTCATTGTCCACCGCACAAACGTCAGCGCCGTTAGCCAAAAGAAACGTAACCAATTGAGTATTTCCAGCAATCACCGCCAAATGTAGCGGAGTGAATCCATCTTCGTCTCTTGTTTCCACTAAATCTGGTGCAGCCATAGTGATGAGGTCGGCCGCTTGGGCGGCACAATTGCTGTCGCTGGTACAGCAATAGTGCAACGCTGTTTTACCGGTACGATCTTGATCGGAGATTGTGTGAGGCTAAAACAAATAAATTTGGGTTTGAAATGGATGATTTACAGGGTTGTTCAAAATGTTTTTTTTTATTCAGTATTTCAAATAATTTAGGGATTTTCCTGCCTTTATTTTTCTTATCTCTAGTCACCTGAAATATTTTTTTTTTATATAGCAATCTATGGTCTTTGCAAGGCAAGTTCCTTGGCATCAAGATTTTTGGTTGTCAGAGGTATGACTAATCAGTGTTGTGATGTAGAAACCTTATTTAAAATTTGAAAAAAAATGGATGTTACCAAAGTGTAAATTGGTTTATTGAAAAACAAGTCCAAATGACAAACATGGAATTTTAAGTTTTTAATAATGCTCCGCAGTATTTCTGGAGCAGTTGATGTTGTTGAAGGAAAACTAACATAAAACTATGTACTATTACATCGGAAACTGCAAGTGAGGAAGAAAAATGAAAATATGAGGATACACCCAAAATGTTTACCCAAGCAGACAGTCAGGTCTTACTTCTGTTAACAGCAAATATGACGCAGGAGATTCTACAAAAGGTAATGAGATTCTCCTCAACCAGAGAAATGTGGCTTGAATTGCATGGCATATAAGATGGTGCTATGGAGGATAAAACGTATGATCTTTGTATGAAGTTCTTCAGTTATAAGAGGTAAGTAAAGATAATATGGCTGCTCATTTTTCCAAACTGAAAACCTTATGGAATAGTTTGCAGAATGAAATTAGCAAAGAAAAGCTTGTTTTAGGAAATAAATGTAGTTGTGAATTGCCCAATTTGCTGTTGATTTGTAAGATGATCTTTATCAGAAGAGTATTTTTCTTTTAAAAGTGGTTGGATGTTGATTATAGGTCTGTTTCTGCAAAAATCACAAACCAGTCAGAGCGAATTTCATTGGTTGAAAACAGTCAGAAACAGTCATAAAACTAGTTTCAACCAATGAAATTCGTTCTGACTGGTTTGTGATTTTTGCAGAAACAGACCTGACGTAATCTCAACGAACGGTTGATAATCTGAGAACTCAGCTTTGTGCATTTGAAAAAGCATTGTCAAATCGTTATGAGAATAACAGTGTTCAAGAACAGGAAGTACTTGCAACAGCAAGCAAACAGAGACATCAAATCAAATGTCACTATTGTAAAGAAAATTGGTCATGTGATAAGAGAGTGTTACAAATGGATTGCAGATGGAAGACCATATATTTCAGAAATTCAAAAAGACGCAAACAGTGTGGTTTCGCTTACGATGACATCAAAAATTTTGTTTCAAGTTGCTGTTACGGAACACTGGTATGTTGATAATGGAGAAACTAATTACATTTGCAATAGACGAGATTTGTTCAAACATTATGGGACTTTTCATGAAGATCATGTTGTGATAACAGTGAGTGGAAACAGAATGAAAGCATTGGGTACAGGAACTATTGAAGTAGGGGCTTTTGTTGATGGGGTAACTTCCAGATTAGTTCTTAGTTGATGTCTGGTATGTTCCTGAGATACAGACAAACCTTTTTTCTCTTTTATCAGCCCAGGATAAAAATGCATATAGTGAGCTTTTTTCGAAAATGGAAGAATGTCATCTTAAAATTCAAGGATCTGTTGTGTTAACTGGTCAACGCACAAAACATGGTTATTCCATCGAAAGACGTGAATATAACCGAGTCGACAAATTTACTACAATTGTGGCATGAGCGTTTTGGGCATCAGAATAAAAGATTTGTTAAAGATAATTTGGAAAGAGAACTGAGAATCTTTGGTCAGTAAAATTTGTGAGGGAAGCATATATGGTAAAGCTTCATGTCCTAAAATTTGGATCACGAGAAAGGGCAAGTGAACCAATAAAGTGCCTTTACTCAGATGTTTGTGGACCCTTTGAGCCATCTAATACAGGATATAGGTACTATGTACAGTTTAAAGATGATTTCAGTATATTTATATACGTGTATTTTATGAAGCATAAGTCAGAAGTTGTAAGTCACCTGAGAATAGTTCTATCTCAGATAAAAACAACAACAGGAAATAAACTAAAGGGGATTTTAACAGATAGTGGGGGAGAATACATTGATCGAAATGTATATTGTATTAAATATGGCATCAATTTGCGACTAGTAATGCTATTACCACCTCAGCAGAAAGGATGTAGTGAATGTGAAAATCGAACACTAGTTGAGATGGCTCATTCGTTAATGCATGCTAAAGAGGAATTAGCTAAGCATACATTTTTGTGGGCAGAGATGATCAATTAACACTGCGGCTTATATTTTCAACAGAAGCGGCAGATCTAGTGTTCAAGCCATGTCTCTCTATCAAGCTTTTGGTTTGGTACGAAAATTAGAGTGCATGTTATGCTCATGTTTCATTGTTCCAAAATCCAAACGAAGGAAAATGGATAAGAAATCCAAAAAGGGAATTTTGGTTGGATATGAAAATGATGATGGGTATCGAATTTGGTGGGAAGAAACAAAAGAATTGATTCGTTCAAGAGATGTGACGATGGATGAAAAAGAGATTTTTTATTCGAATCAGGTTTCAAAAATAAATAATGAAAATAATAGACCTGGTATAGCAGGCTTTCCGTTTGATGTCCTTTTTGAAACTGCTAAAGCTACAGAAGAATGTGAAAAATTACAAAAGAATAGCGAAAACACCAACATACATGAAAGTCAACGTCAGCAAACTATTGACATACAATTAGAACAACAGAGTGACAACTCAATAAATGATGATGTAAAGAGTGTTACCTCGGAATTTTATGGATTCAAAGCAGAAAATCGTCCTGAAATTAAAATGCGTGATAGATTAAGTTTGAAAAAGCCTCAAAATTAATTGGATTAAAGCATTAAAGAGAGAAATGCCATCCCATCATGAGAATGGCACATGGGTTCTGGAAAATTTGCCACATGATAGATAGGCAATTCCATGTAAATGGGTGTTCAAGGTTAAGACTAATCCAGATGATTCAGTTCAAAAATTGAAAGCACGTCTTGTTATCAAAGGGTGTTCTCGAAAGATGGCAGATTATGATGAAACTTTTAGACCTGTAGCAAATTTGGTATCTCAGTCATAAGTGTGGCAGCGATCCAAAATATGACCCTAACACAATTTGATGTGTCTACTGCATTTTTGTATGCAGCCAGAGGGCTATGTCGAAGATGATGCTGACAAAGTTTGTAGAAACAAGAAAAGTCTTCATAGGCACAAGCAAGCATCCAGTTGCTGAAATAAGCGATTTGTGGATGTTTTAAAAAGTATGAGATTCAAGACAACTGATGCAGATCCATGTGTTTTCATTAAGAAGCAAGGAAATGATTTATCAATATTGTCAATTAATGATGTTTTGGAAGATGAGTTTTTCAGAAGTATGGAAAACAAATTTAAGTTTACTATAAAGCCAGCTTCGTATTTGCTTGGTTTATTTGAACAAAATACTGAAGAAGTTATAGTTAGTCAAAAAGCCTATGCTCAAGAACTATTAACTATTGGAAAAATTTGGAATGGACAAATGTTATTCTGTCACTACACCAATAAAAGAAGCTTCAAACCCAAAAATAACATCACCAGAAAATGACATTTCATATCGAGAAGGTGTTGGGGCTCTTATGAACTTGATACTTGATGTATGGGAGTCGTCCTGCTTTGGCTTATGCTGTTAGTGAAGTTCCTACATTGAAAAAAGTCAGCATTAAAACTCAAGTCCTACGTGACTTTGAAGCCAGCGTTATACTATTCAAGAGACTAGTCTTGCGAATTAAGAACGGTATTTGGTGTTACGAAACTCTTCATAACAGTATAGAAATTCTTTCTTAATATTTAAGTCAAGTAGGAGTTGATTATTCCAGATAAATATCAAGACACATGTCTTTATTGTTAAGAAACTTTTTCTTATGAATACATTTTTGAGGACTGGGATACATTTAAACACATGCTTTCTTTAATATTATGAATATTATCGATTATATTAAATCCTCGAGTTGTCACTTCAACAGCGATTGAAAAGGTAAAAGATAATAGATAGAGAATTTAGTTCCATGTGAATAGCCTTAACATTGGCCCAAACGTTTCGTTGTGTCGATGTTGGCACAAGGTCACACGGTAAGGTACCGCACCACGTCTTCCAACAAAAACCATCTTCATCAGTCTATATTTTTTGCACTTCGCGAGCGTACAGTTTGTGTTCTAATTACTCCAAAATCGTCGATTCGAGATTTTTTTCAAAGAAAAAATATAAAAATGGCCTGCGAAGAATTTCTTGAAGAGATAGCTCTGGGGCATCACTTAGGAAATTTTGAAGGTAAGTCCTTATATATAATAATAATTTACATTTTATTATTTTAGTAGGTATATGTGCATTATGCCATTAGTATAATCATTAACAGAAGATAACATTTAACAGTAACCTGAAAAACCATTTTGAATGCATCCCAATAAGCATCATTAACCCATACACGATATTCATTTTTTGTTATTCAATAATGAAGAGATTGCCCTTAATATAATGTAAGCTTCAAACTGTGATATTGAATTGCAGTTTGTAGGATTATAAATAGAATCCTTACTTAAATTATAAATACTTTATTTTATTCTTTCTTTGGTATTTTAGAAGAAGCCATTACCCCAGGGGCCCAATTCTCGTCGCAGGGAGAGGTGAGCTCCCCGAGAGAACGGATTTTTTGTTCTTGTCAGCGTAATCGAAAAGTGAACGAGAATGATAAAGACGAAAAATTTGTTCTCTCGGGGAGCTCTCCTCTTCCTGAGACGAGAATCGGGCCCCAGAAGTTTTGCTGTTTCTCGACTCCGGCGCCATTGCGAAACTTTTACCAAAATTAGGGGGAAAATTCGTAATGGTGAGAAAATTGGCGGAAATCAGAGAAAAACAACGTCTAGAGAAAAAATATTTCTCCTAATCGTCCCATTATTGATGCGACACTTAATATTTCCACATACCATCAGAACAAGCTGAAGCATCATTGGTGAGTATTTAAATTATTCATCTTCATCTTATTCTGCAATGT